AGATATGTTTTCAACTCGATAATTCAAAAAGAAGGTCAGAGTTTTGATAGTTTTGTTACGGAATTAAGAATTTCAGTTGAGTCAACAGAATATAAGGATCCAGATGATATGCTCACATAAATCAACACAAGAAAGGCTTCTGAGAGAACCGAAACTAACCTTGCAAAAAGCAGTGGATCATTGTAAGGCTGTAGAAGCAAGCAAGTCCCAAGCTCAGGCTCTAGCAAATGAAGCCTCTGCAAGTGCCATCCATCAGACTCAGGAAAGGTTCATACAGAAGTGATGTGTTTTATGGTCAGCAGGAGAAATTCGAATGCAGTTTTTGTGGCTACACACATGTTAGAGGCCAATGCCCTGCATATGGTGAATTTTGTAATGAATGCGAAGGAAGAAACCACTTTTCTAATGTATGCAAAAAGAAAGAGTCTAGGAAAGAAGCGAATGAAAATAGAAGTTAACGGGAAAAAGTGAGTGAGGTGAAAGTGTCAGGATTGAGTGAAAAAGTTGAAAATGACCAGAGTAATAGTGACTATGATGATTTTTATATTGGGTCATTAGTGAGGAGTGTTGATGGGCTGACGTCGAAAGCTGATATCGTATGGACCAAGAAAATAGTTGTGGAAGGTACAGCTATTGAATTTAAACTGGACACAGGGGCTGAAGTAAGTGTGATTCCTAAACATATTTTAAAAAAGCATGGCATTAAGAAGGACATCAAAGAATCTCGACTAACTTCAATTTCATATGGCAGCCCTGATTTTAGAATTGGAGAAGTCTCACTATTGTGTAATATTAATAACAAGTTGACATACTTACCGTTTATTGTACTTAGTTAATAGTCAAAATCAAATGACTTTGTTGGGTTTAACAGGTTGCCTGGAGTTAGAGCTAGTTAAACGAGTTGATTCTGTTCATTATGTTAATTTTAATACTTTGAAAGATGTTAAATTTTTGTATCCGAAAGTGTTTGGAGGATTAGGTCTATTCCCAACTGAGCATAAAATTGTTCTTAAAAAAAATGGTAGACCCCATATTCAGGCAGTGAGACGCATACCTCAAACTCTTCACAATAAAGTTAAATTGAAACTTGACCTTGAAAATCAGGGCATTATTAGAAAAGTTGAGAGGCCTACAAAATGGTTAAATCCCCTAGTAAAGTGGAAAAGAAAAATGGAGATTTGAGGTTGTGTCTCGACCCGAAATACTTAAATGAAAATATACAGCGTGAACACTTTTTAATTCCTACAGCCGACGAAATTGCTAGAAAAATTAGTAACAAAGTCATTTTTACAGTACTTTATATGAAAGAGGGTTATTTCCAAGTCAAGATTGATGATCAATCTTTGGATCACTGCACGTTTGGCGCACCATTTGGTCGCTACCAATTTTGTCGGCTGCCTTTTGGTTTGAGTTTTGCCCCAGAAGTTTTTCAGAAGAAAAATTTTGAGCTTTTTGGAGACATTGATGGAATAGAGTCAGTAGAGATTTATTTTGACGATCTTATTATTTCGGGTAAAACAGAGGCTGATCATGATGAAAATTTGAAGCGCGTTCTTGACCGAGCCGTCAAATATAATATTAAGTTTGACCAGGATAAAATACAATTTGAATCAAAAGAAGTAAAATTTCTGGGACAGGTTTTTTCGAAAGATGGTGTTAAAGCCAGTAACTCTCATATTAATGCCATTTTGGAAATGCCGAATCCCCAAAATAAAGCTGATCTCTTAAGATTGCTTGGCATGGCTAAATTTTTGGGTAAGTTTATCCCCAATTTGTCAAAAGTGTCTGCGCCCCTCAGAACCTTGACTCGCCACGATGTGGATTGGAAGACAATTAAAGCATTTACTGACGAATGCTCCTGTCTTTACATTTTTTGATGCTATCCTTGCCAATGGAAATTGAAACTGACGCCTCAAAAAATGGCCCAGTAGCCTTCGCTTCAAGTCTAACAAAAAGTGAAGTAAATTATGCTCAGATTGAGAAGGAACTTTTGGCAATCTTGTTCAGCTGTCAAAAGTTTCATTATTATGTGGATGGTGTTAAAAATGTTAAGGTTTGTACTGACCACAAACCACTAGAGTCAATTTAAAGAAAAAACCTACAGTCTGTATCTCCAAGGCTGCATGAATGATCCTTAAATTACTTAGTTACGACCTAAAAGTGATATACATAAAGTCAGGAAAATATTTATTTATTGCAGATACACTATCTCGTGCTTTTTTAACTACATCTGGGACTCTACTCAATCTACTTCACTTTTAAGGAATTTTCAAAAGAGTGGAATTTCGATATGGTGCTTAGAAGCCCGAACTACCCCAGATCTAACGGTCTGGCGGAAAAAACTGTAGGCATTGCAAAAAGCTACTCAAAAAATCTTTGGAAGAGGGCAAGGATATGCTTGAAGCCCTAATTCAATATCGAAATTTACCTCTTAATTTTTAAACTACTCCCCCTCTCAGTTACTCATGTGCAAGACAAAGTTGCCAGTATCAGCAGACTTATTGAAACCCTTATTATGTGAAAATGTAAAAGAACGGATCGTGCTGAGGCAAGGCCGGAATAAGAATTACTTCAATAAGACTGCAACTCAGTTGAAACCGTTAGAACCTGACCAAAATGTTTCGGTTTTTAACCATGTAAAGAATCATTGGGAGCCAGGCCAGGTAAGATATTGGATTTAGCTGAAGGTCCAAGATCTTACAGGGTTTTGGATTCTCATATGTAAATGTGATGAGGAGAAATCGTTTTGATCTGAAGGACTCTCATATTGATCATAGTCTGAACCCGGATTTTGACATTGACTTTAGGCACGATTGTGGAAATGCTATAATTAATACTGTGCGTCGTTCTCCTGCAAAGTCTGATTGTAATTACTCAGAGCCTACTAAGCTCCCAAACTGAGATTCAGTCTGATAGAGAAGCCACTTTTGTTCGACCGTCTTCGCCTCCTTTGGATCTCCATCAGAAGTCCAAATCTGGTCGCACAATAAAAAGGCCCGACAGATTGAATCTATAGTTAATCATTTATTATTACTGATTTTGTAGTATGTGTAATTTTTAGGTCATAGAAGAATATGTTTATTTTTAAAAGAAGAGATGTATCATAAATAGTCACGTCGGTGGAATGCAGCACAGGGCGTTGGCCCGGGGGCACCACGGATCGGCTGTCACCTGTCACTTGGCAGTCGTTTTGTTATCGTTTTGTAATACAGTTTTGATTTTGGATGCTGATTAGAATAAATACTTGTTTTTAAGACACATTCATTGTTTAAATAATACAACACTAAAGGTCGTAGGTAAAGTTTAGTACATAATTTTGGTAGTCACCTATAAAATTAATGCCTCACTTTTTGATTTTTTCCGAATTTGCTTCCTAACATAGTCATTAGCAAAAGTTTCAGGTAATAGAATATTATATACCTACAAGATTAAGCTTATTAGGCAATTCCAACCACGTGACATTCAAGATGGCGTGGCGGCCACACATGGGACAAAAAACACAAAAAAATATCTAGTTTCTGCCCGACTCAATAGTTCACGAACCTCGTCAACGAATATTTGATTAAATAATCGAAATCAAAGTTGCAAGCAAAACTCTAAGCAAAATAATTTGAAATACGCATAAAAACATATTCAAAACAAACTTGGTTGGCCGCCACGCCATAATGAATTTTCGTTTTTGACAGATGAATTGGATTGCCTAATTACAAAAATGCATTTTTTTTCCTGTTCTGGTTTCCATCTACCATTTTCATTATCAAGGCATTTTTAAGCAACCCCTTAGTATTTTAACAACCAATTTTCGATATTCTTCCGTTTTACTTATTGTTTATTATAGATATTGAAGCTTGAAAACGGATTTATAAATATATCGTCGATGATATAATAATATCAAAACGCGTTATAATCGTAGTAACTACCTATCAAAACGCGTCCCCCGTTTTATTTAATGAATTTGTGTCATGATTTTGTTGTTTCTTAATCCTTTATTTTAATGAGAAACATTGGCCAACATAACTTGTGCACATCTTTATTTTGGTCTACCACTTTTCACATAATACAAAAATTACCACATAGTGAGTATGCAACAACCGGCAATTTTATTTTTGATTGAGAGCCAAAGTTTGGAACTCGAGTCAATTTGAAAACCTCCTTGCATTAACCACTATGTAAAGCAGGTACAATTCAATCGAGACGTACTTTACGTAACGTGTGTGAAGACAGCAGACGAAAGATAGCAGATGACAGAGCCGAAGGTAGTCGATCGTAGAGTCCAAACCAAGGGTAGGGGGTTATTACCCACATACATAGCAACTTAAAACCACCCTCACTTTGGTGTAAAATCCCATAGTTTTAGAGTTACGAATTTATTTCTGTCCCCATCTGCTAGGAATTGAAAAAATCATATTTCATCCCCTACGGCTTGCGAGTCCAAACCAAGGGTAGGGGGTTATTACCCACTCACATAGCAACTTAAAATCACCCCCACTTTGATGAATAATCCCATGGTTCAAGAACTACGGATAATTTTTGGTTTCATTTGCTAGGCCAAGGGTAGGCGTTTGATCAAATACTTTTATAATAACCAAAAAGGTCTTTAATCATCCTAATAAAATTAGATATTTTCAAATAAAAATCATTAAAATATTAGGTGGACTATGAGACTAGGTTAGGCAGTGTATCTACGATCGGCTACTTCGGCTCTGTCATCTGCTATCTTTCGTCTGCTGTCTTCACACACGTCTTTACGTAATCATTATTGTTCAACCTTGCCCTACTAATAAATATTGTAAGTACCATCATTAGGCAAGATCAAAGTACAAAATCACCAAAAACAATTTTTGTACTGATCGCTGATGGTAAATGACTACTTCCCACTCTCACTACACAAAAAAAAATATATTAACAACAGGATTGAGTGATGAAATAATTTTTAACCAACCTTCAGTTGAAATAAGCCTACGGAAATGAACGGTTGATGGAAAAATCAGTTAATCGCGATGTTTGAGTTTCTAAAAATAGTTGTATCAGCAGCGATAAAAAAAAGTGATGTCAAAATTAGTAGTGATATCGAAGTAATTGTTAATAAACTCTTATCTTTGGACCTATTTGAAGTAGACAAGAATACAGCCCGAAAGGAAGTGAAATTACTTAAACAATCCATTTGTAACATTGATGGAAAATTTGCTGCAATAATCTACAATGCATTGACAGGAATTTTTGCAAAAACCAATGAAAAATCACGTCAAGAGACATTTGAGCATTTAATGGATGCTTGCTATGAGGAAATATTGTATAATTTCGAACTTCAAAATGGAGGTGAATTTATGAAAAAACCCAATTTTAATATCCAGGTCAAATTGCTATTACCTTTAGTAAAATTTGAGCTACTATTGAAATATGTAGAAAATAATAATAATTCAAATGAAGTCAAGAAACTAATTAATAATATTCAACAATATTTTAATTATCCGAGATTAAACCAAGAAGATATTTATGTCATAATTAAAAACAAAATTGGCATTAATAAAGAGTTTAATCTGATTTCGTATAAAATGGTACCTCTAGATGTCAAAAATGGCGTCTTAGGTGATTATTTCAAATTATTCATCAACTTGGAAGACGAACAACTTATTTTTTTCGCCAAATTCTTAAGTTGCACGACCGAGATTATGAAGTCAGTATTGAAATTGGGTCCATCCAAGAAAGAAGAATTTTTCTATATGGTTTTTGTGCCTAAAGTGAAAGAGTTAGGCTATGGAGATTTATTGGATTTCGCTCCAAATTGTTACTTTTCCAGAGTGGATGATGTTATTGTCTTAGACGATATGACTCAAGAAGGATTTATTGGTTCAACCCTAAACAGTAAGCTTAATTACGAGGCTCTGAAAGTAACTGTTGAAAAAATTGCCAAATTTCATGCTTGCGGGTTTATCCTTGAAGAAAATTTGAAACAATCTGGACAATCGCTCTACCAGAATTACAAAGAATATCTACAAGAAGTTATTTTTGTACCAGAATCGCCTTTATTTAAAGCCACTGTACCTCGCAATGAAAAAATATTCATGTATTTAACAACCAAAAAATTTCCAGAGGTCTGTGCTAAATATTCAGAAGACATTCTAAAAGAAAAATATGCAAATGGATGGAGACTTTTTACAGAAAAACTTCACAAATCTGAAACATTTAAAAACGTTATTTGCCATGGAGATTTACATGTAGGAAATATGTTATTTAACTACAAATCTGGGAATACAGCTTTAATAGACTTCCAGATTTTAAGATATTGCCCGCCTGCACACGATTTATTGTTATTTTTGTATTGTACAACATTCAAAGAGACTTTTGATACATACCATAACGAACTGATCGCGTATTATTATTCAGAATTAACGAAACATTTAGGAAAATTCAATTTTGAAATTGAAAACATCTTACCAAAAGAAGAATTTTACCAGAGCATTGATTATATGAAAAGTCAATGCATCTTGCAGGCATTTTTTTATAATTTAATTCATATGATCGAGCCGAAGAAAAGGGAAGAAATTTTAGAAGACGAAGAAAATTATAAGAAATACATAGCTAACGAATATGGTGGAGTCGACTTGGGATGGGAAGACGAAACTTATAGGAGAGTCATCAAAGGACTTATGGAGTTGGTTTTAGAGTTGTGTGATGATGGACATATTTAGTTTTGATTTGAAAACGAGTTTTGAATTTGTTGTTTTCGTACCAAGTACCTAAATACAGTTTTAGAGATGCAATTGTTGGTTTTACAAACAGGTTGTTAATAGAAGTGTACAAATTGTTTTATAAAATTAGCTGTAAAAAAAAAATATATAAAATCCAAGATTAAAATACAGAACATACAAGTACAGGGTGATTCATTAAGAATGGCACTCGGCCATATCTCAAAAACTATTCATCGTAGTCTTGTCGGAAAAAAATTATCCCATAAATATGGCCAAGAGAAAATGCTGGAAATATATTTCAGCTTTCTAAAATGACCGTAAGGGGGCGTAACCCAACTGTCAAAGTACAAAAATGGTTTTATTTTTTAAATTTCAAATGGAAACGTATCTCAAAAATGCTACCAATAGATTTTTGATAAAATTTCACACAATTTTGATTCATGACTTTTTACCATAACTTATCGGATAAGATAGTTATGAGCTGTCAAATATTGCAACACAAGAAAGCGGATAACTTAAAAACGACTCAACAAATCTGGTCGATCTTAGGTTCGTTGGAAAGACAAGAGTCTGTTCTTTAACTTTGTTGTGAAAAATTCAAATTCTGATTAGTAGGACTGACGCTATGGGTCAATATTTGAAAACAATTGAATGTTTCCAATTTTTCTTGAAATTTTCAAATGGAACGGTATATTTAAGATATGTTAAATCGATTTTTGAGGATGTTTTACATAGTGTTTCTTCATTATACCTTCCTACAAACGAATTCTAGAGAGTATTAAAATTAATTTTATTAAAAATAATCAGTATTTATCAAAAAGCCCTCGTAAATTGAGTAGATACCAGTTAAGTATGTCAGGCTGACAAATTTTTGAAACTTCAAACGCTATTTTCTAAAGTCAAAATGCATTTCCCAAATGGAGAAGCACAGGGGTCGTATTTTCGAATATTTTCGCATACGAAATTTGATACGATTCCGAATGCTCCACTTTTAATTTACATTACGAAATGTATACTCGAATGAATTCGAAAATACGACCCCTGGACATTTTTGAGGTTCTGCATGAATGTAATGGAAATGCAGCAATCGCAGCCACTAAAATCTAATTATTTTGAAAATGGACAATGCTTATAAAAAAAATATTAGACTGGTTTTGGACTATCTCTGTTAGTATTTACAGAAAGAGCAGAATGAAAAATGAATAAATCCACAGTACGCGGGTGCCGAATTTATGCGGAAATGACATCTAGATTTTAATTTCCAAAATTATTAATAGATGGCACCACCACTTGAGTAGTCTACTATTCTCAAAATAAATATGTATTTCTTCTTCAAGTTTCGTATCCTACAACATGCTCGTGTATTAATGGCTATCATCACAAATTGCTATTATAATTTCCTAACGCACTTTTTCCATTATTTGACATTCATCAATGATGACAATCAACTGTTAGAAAAGCAAAGTCATTATTTACGAGGGCATTTTCATAAATATTGATTATTTTTGATAAAATTAAATTTTACACTCTCTGGAATTCGTTTGTAGGAAGGTTTATTAAAGAAAAACTGTGTAAAACATCCTCAAAAATCGATTGAACATATCTTAAATATACCGTTCCATTTGAAAATTTCAAGAAAAGTTAGAAAAATTTAATTGTTTTCAAATATCCACCCATAGAGTCAGTCCGACTAACTGAAGTTGGAATTTTTTACAATAAAATTAAAGAACAGACTCTTGTCTTTCCAACGAACCTAAGATCGACCCAATTCGTTGAGTTGTTTTGAAGTTATTCGTGTTCTTAAGTTGCAATATTTGACAGCTCATAACTGTCTTATCCGATAAGTTATGGTAAAAAGTCATAAATCAAAATTGTGTGAAATTTCATCAAAAATCTATTGCTAGCATTTTTGAGATACGTTTCCATTTGAAATTTAAAAAATAAAACCATTTTTGTACTTTGACAGTTGGGTTACGCCCCCTTACGGTCATTTTAGAAAGCTGAAATATATTTCCAGCATTTTCTCTTGGCCATATTTATGGGATAATTTTTTTCCGACAAGACTACGATGAATAGTTTTTGAGATATGGCCGAGTGCCATTCTTAATGAATCACCCTGTACAATAAGAACAAGTGCATATACAGAGCAGGAAAAAAATAAAATATATCATAGGCCGCACAAAATACTTATTAATAACATAAAACATTTCATTAGTGTGTTTGTCTCCTAGTGCTCGAATTTTCCCCGATTAATCCTCTATGCTTTTTGTATATTAAGCACAACATTTCTAACAGGAAAAGTGAAGGTAGTGTGCATATTTTATGAGAAATGAAATAGAGTTTACATGAATCACGAACACTGATCCTAAACATAAGCCTAATTGCTCGTTTCTGTAACACAAAAAGCTCATTGAAATTAAACTGTGAGCAATTTCCCCAAAAACAAATTTCATAGCGCAGATGGGATTCTATTAGTGCAAAATATGCGATCCTAGCTGTATTAAAGGCTAGCTCCTTACAAATTATTCTAAGAGCGTAACAATTTGAAGCCAACTTTTTGGATAACCCTTCGATATGGGCTCAAACTTAAGCTTGCTATCTATGCAAACCCCCAAAAAAGTATTTAGGTAAAGTTTAACCATTATTAATTGAAACTTCATAAAAAAGGCGGCTCAGTTGATCTCTTTGAAGTCACATGGGAATCCATAGGCGTCTAAATATTATTATCATGACAAATGAAAACAAATTGGTTAATAAAGAATAAACATACTCCAGATATTTCTATAAAAACTGAAATGACGAACGCCATTGCCCAGAAATTCTAGCTGATTTACTTCTAGGATACAGTGGAGTTAATACAATAAATAAATGGGCAAAATTCATATAGTAAGTAATCCTTAAAATTCCGTTTTAAACTATTGAAATAAATCAAATATAAATATTTGAATGGGAATATTATTCCTTTTTTAAAAATTCAAATTTGAAATTGATTTTTAATCAATTATCCGTGTAATTTTATACTTTTGTCCACTTCTAAAGAGAATATCTCACACTGTCAACAAAAGCGGCTCAACTTTGTCGGGAAGCGATAAAGCCTAGCGGCAACGCCAATAATTTTCAAGTTTTTTTGCCGGCGTGCGGCGTCTTTGTTATAGTGTACCAGGACTTGGCATAAAAATATAAAAATTATTTTATATTATTATAAGGGGTATTTTTCTAATTTTGAATAGTCACCATAGAGATGCGATTTTCAATTGATAATGGTGCTACTTTATCTCTGTTTTATTGATCATTTCACCATTTTAGCAAAGTCTATATATTTCCTAGACCACATTTGAAAGACATTATCAAAGTCTAAAGATCCTCGAACAAGTCCGGTCACTCCTTTGATCTCCTCAAAAAGCCGGCTTTTTTTGCGGAAGGTCGTAAATCATGTCAGCACGCGCCGATTTGTAGATAAGAAGCAAATACGAGGGCGCTGGTCCCGATTGTACTTGGTAATGTTTTTACAGGGGGAGTTTGAAAAAGAATGTCTTTAAAGAATATTTACGTTAATAATTTTTTGGTTTTAAAAAATTATGGAAAAACTTTTTCTGCTTAGCGATTAGCATTAAATTAATTGACGGATAATCCTAATAATTATTGTTAGTCAATTAATTTCATATTATAAAATCAGCGGTAAGTGTTACTTAACATCACGTTCTGGTAGTAACTTTGATGGAATAGCAGTTTTTAATGAAGGTTTTCCTACAAGCGTGCAGAAAACGCGTTTTCAAGCACCGATTTGCGTGCGGAAAGTATCACTTTGTCGCACAGTGTGCGTGAAAAAAAAAAAAAAAAAACAGACCGGCGTGCGCGATAAAAGTTTTTCCACACAGATTTTTTTTTTCGAAATTACGTTCCTCCGTTCTTTCTCTTCAAGAAAGATATTAACTTTTTGTACTGACCAATATCGACATCTTCAATGAGTTTTACCTACGAACATGTGGAAAGTGCACTTTACCGCACCGATTCGCAAATAGAAAGTAGCACTTTACCGCACACTATGCGGTTGAGTTACTTTACCATATAGTGTACGGTAAAGTTAACTTCACCGCATAGTGTATGGTAAAGTAGACTGCAAAGTGTGAGATAATAGTTATTTACCTAACAAATGCGGAAAGTGATACTTTACCGCACGCAATGGCAAAAAAAGACGGTAAAGTAACTTCACCGCATAGTGTGCGGTAAAGTGCCACTTTCCATTTGCAAATAAGTGCGGTAAAGTGCACTTTACCGCACGCTCGTAGGTAAAGTTACTTTACCGCATAGAGTGCGGTAAAGTAGATTTTGATATTTTTAATCAAAAATCCCTTCTCTTCTAGGAAAGGGATTTTTGATCATTTTTAAATTCAATCTAATTTCATTAATTAATCTGAATCGTTAATTAATTTAATCTACGTCGGTGTCATTATGACACATTTAGCATTGTCATTTGAATGTCATTAGGTCCTTCATAATAGCACTAGTGCGTTTAAGAATTCATAATGACAAATTTTGAAATGAAAAATATACAAAAAGAAAGTTAGTTGCCAGAAGAACCTTTTCAATAATGCTGTCTCTATATTCGAAGAGACACTTTCGAACTCAGATTCACCAATAATAATATTATTTTCCACCTTAAAATTGAATTTATGGCACAAAAATGGACTCCAATATTGAAGCTGCCAAAGTCAAAATTCTAAAAACCAACAAGCAGGTTCTCGACTTGTCCGGGCACCTGCTAAATTTCGAATTTTAATTTGAAAAGTTTTTGCTATTTCAAGGCAAATCAAATCTATTTGAACCATTGTAGATTAAATTTTGAATGATACACGTTCGATATGAACTTTATTAATGAAACTTGTGTAACTAAACCACTCGGCTAACGCCTCGTGGTTTAACGTTACACGCGTTTCATTATGGCGTTCATATCGAACTTGTATCATTAATAACTATTATTACTGCCTTTTCTTGGAGAT